AAATTCCAGTGAAATATATTTATGTTTGTGGTTGTAATGTGACAAAATATGGAAAAGTTCAAGGGGTATGAATACTTTTGCAAACCACTGTATCTCATGTCATAAATACAGCTCTTGAGAAATAGCTCAAGACACTCGGGATGACCCTCTGCTGAGAACATGTTCACATTTCAAACAACACAGTGATGAAATTCTGTTTGCCAGCGGTCACAGCCTGGTGAGATACCACCACATCCATATAGTCACTATCTCTATGAAGGAAAAAAAAAGAATGCAGTGCAGATGAAAGTAACATAACCAGACGAATAAAAAATAAACAGCATCTGCAGAACAGAGTTTTCATGCAGGAACATTTAGAGCCACTGATGGTCAGACTTTGGTCACTGTGCTCCTCCACACCCCAGCCCTCCCTGGTTTTCCCTCTACTGACCCACATTTATGCTTCACTTCAATACAAAAAACTGACACCATGAAGGCAACCAGAGTACCACATGACCAGACTCTCTCCATCAAGGCAACGGGTCTAACATGAAGACGTCACAGGAACATACAGGCATGTGTAAGTTGAGCTAAGCAGAACCTAACTCATGAAATGGTACACGCAGCCTAAATGGACTGAATCAACAAGGATTCTTTCTTCACAGAGTAGAATACTCAAGTCAGGCAAACTTATTCAAAATATGGAATGACAAAAAAATTAAGTGTCTTTATTGTGGATCTTACCAGGTTTCTCTATGTTGTCTCCAGTACTGTCCTGTACCTCGTTGGGGATGACTTGGGATGAAACCACATCAAAGTTTTTACATCTATCATTCCTRATTTAAGAGAGGTTTAATACTTTGACTGCACTAAATTCAAAAGAATATACTTATAGTCCCCTGAACACGAGTTAGACATATTAAAACCTTGTTTGTTTTTTGTTATTTTTTAATGACAAACTCCAACATCATAATCTGCTGAATGATTTTACTCATCAGAAAGTTTTGGGAGACAGTTTTAATTTTAAATCCCTTTCGATGACAACTTTAAAGAYGTATTTCTGTGACTGTTCCAATTGTTTAGAAGAAAATGGAAGTCAGGGTGGCGCTGATGGACATTACATTGTGCTAAGCATGACACGTAATAATGTAATGACGTGAGATGTGAGGATAACAGAGTGACAACAGCAAAAAAGACAGGAGAAATAAAACTGTTATGTGACGTCACAGTGCTCTAAAACCTGATTTTAATCATTTAATTATCTGATTGTTGTCAACTGCTTTGAAGTAGAAAAAAAAACACCAAGTGTCTGTGTTAAAATAATGTGTTTAAAGATTTGTCCTATTTCAAAATCTTACCATCATTACGTTCAGCGATGAGAAAAAAAACTAAATTTTATACAAGACTTCACCTCATGTGGACTAAAATACTGGCTTAGTAACTGTAGCTGCAAATCTTCTCACCTGTGGCGCTGAGCAGATCCAGGAGGAACGACCGCTTGTCGCTCTCTTCAACCCAAACCACTTTCTGGGTGATRTTCTCTGAGGTGGAACCCACCCTGCCAACAGCCAGGAAGATGTAGTCCTCCAGAAAATCCCTTGCTAAGATCTGTAGAAAGAGCAACATTTCATTACGACCSCAACGAGCGAGAGTTCATAACTTCTGTCAGGAGCTGAGCTGAAGGAGTCGCTGCAGACACACCTGGATCTCTTTAGGAAACGTAGCGCTGAACATCAAGGTCTGTCTGATGCCTTTGTGAGGCATGGTGTCCTGTTCCACAATGCGTCTGATCTGTGGTTCAAAGCCCATGTCCAACATGCGATCTGCCTCGTCCAGGACCAGGTACCTAAAGAGGATTAAGACAAGTGGTCAAACTATATAAATGCAATAATTATTATCAAAGAATTGACTCGTACTCTGAGCTCATGTCTTACTTGCAGTAGTCTAGTCCGATCTTGCCCCTCTCCATCATGTCCACCAGTCTTCCAGGCGTGGCCACCAGCAGGTGGCAGCCTCTCTCCAGGTCTCTGATCTGCTGCCCGATGTCGGCGCCTCCATAAACAACACAAGGACGCACTCTGGAGCGGTAGGAAAACTAGCAAGAAAATGAGAACAATGAAATCCCCCRAAATCATCACCATTTGTTAGTCATTAAACTTCTGTGTGTTCGTTTCTACCTTCCTGGCCTCATCGTATATCTGCAGGGCCAGTTCTCTGGTTGGAGCCAGGACCAGAGCAATGGGGTACTGCTTACGGCGCCCATACTTCCCATTCTCCTGAAACAGAAGTTCTTTTAAAATTAGCTAAATTATGTGGAATTAAACAAGTGTGAGTTTCATTTTATTTAAAATCAATGGTAGTTTATTAGACTCGTTAGGCCAGCACGTCTTCACCTGTGAATTATTCTCTCAAATCAGGTCACAGTTGCAAGAAACTACATAAAAATATTGGAGCTGGTTCACAGTTTTGTACACTTGWGAAAATGTTGAAAACTTTGAACCACCCCTCAAACAAACMAGTTTAAAGTTTGCAGAGAGTTATGACTGTGCAAGTCCCGCAAGGACTATCCAAATCACCGGGGATTTTTCCCCTGCAGTCACATTTGCATCACAAACAGATAGTCACGATGGCTTGCCAGCAGAAGGTAGACACATCAAAACAGCCTGTTCCTCAGTTCCTCCGTGATCCGTTATTTGGTATATTTTATGACCAACGTTTAAATATCTTTAGTAGTTTAAACAGTTGCTGTAATCATCAATCATCATGCAGTGACACCACCTGAGAAGGTTCCTGTACTCCAAGGCAGAGGTGAAAATAGGCCTGTCGCGA